CATTGAGCAGCCCTGATGTGCTGGTGCCCCTCACTCCCAACTTGCAGCCCCCTCCATGGTAAATGGAAAACCTGGATCCCTAGTTCATAAGTATTTAAAAAATTGATTTTCTTAATGATTTTTGCAAAGTTCAGCTGCAGGACCCCTTATGTCCATATCTATGCCTTAGCAACAAAAGTCCTGAATCTGTAACTATGCAGTTGGGATGTTTAGAAACTGCAGGATGTATATGCTGCAAGTTGGCACACATCGTTCTTCTGATTTGGTTTCTCCAGGTGACTATTGGGTCCTCTCTAGGTAGCCAGTTAATAGCTCGGTTCTCTTGATTTCAGAAATATTTGTTCACTTGCAGTTTTGAAGTTTCCTAAATTGCTTACCAGAGTTTGTATATTCCAAGGTTATTGATATAGCGATTTACATGATGCTTCTATGTCTCTCTTCAGGTGGTGTTGGAATTACCTGTTGGCTTGTGGTTTGCAACAAAGTTGTGGCCATCATGCTTCACCCTTTCAGCTGAGGGAGAATTCCTGTGAGCTACAGAGTTCTAAATTGCATTTGCATAGTTTTCATGAACTATACTTGTGCATAAAAGGGGAAGGGGCTTTCTGAATAAGGAAGCAATGAGCTTGATTTTTCCATGTTTTATGGCAGCAGACTATCAATTTTTACTGGCTGTACCATCTTTCTTTAACTTGTCCCTCACATTCAGTCTGCTGTTTCTAAATAACAACATTACTATTCATAATGTCTCTTTTTTTTCATTGTTGGAAAGTAAAAATATTGGTCAACTGCAGAACCCCAAGAATTTGTCACTGCAGATGCACTGCAGTCAATTTTCAGTTATTAATTTATTATTAATTTCGATGTTGAACTGCATGGACAGGTATTCTCATGGAGCCTACTAGTTTTTGATGGACTGTATCATGGTTGTTTTTATAAAAGGTTGGCTTTTTGTTTGTTTGGTTGTATTTTGGGAGGGGAGAAGAAGGTAGTAAGGGAAGTTCTTGGCTTATTTTAAGTTAGATGTTGATTTCCTGACTTGTCTATTTGTTGTGGACCTCAATGCACTTGGGCTATCTTAGAAAATGTATTATGTATGTCTTACAAATTGCTACTTCCTGATCCTCTCTAAACTGCTTAATATGTAGCAGCTAGCTACACTTTCTTTTACACTTCTATCATCTAGTGATGACCTGCTTGCTTGTATCTGTCTTCCCATCCCAAGTGGCCTTTCTTCAGAGAGGGAGAATCGGATCAGATGCCTCTTGTCCCCATCCCCGAAGGAAAATGAGCCATTCTCTGTTTCTGACTGCGGACTCCTGTCACATTCTTCTTGTGTTGGCCCAAGAAGAGGAATAAATAAGCTCTCATTTCAAACATGCCAGAGTATAGGCCCAATACATGTTTGGGAAGGAAAGATGGCAGTTTCATGGTTGAAAGGGAGGTGGGAGGGGGATAGTTAAATGTCAAAAGGAAGACTTCAGAACATATTTATGATATTGTCATCTTGCAGGATGGCCCAAGACTCCGCCCATAAAGTAAAGTAGTCAGTGGTTCAAATATCTAAAGTACTAAACAGATTTTAAAGGAAAATGGTAAAAATACAGGACAATCCCTACTTAGATCTAAGCTTTCCTGCTTACTTAGCTACAATAAACTAGCGGAGGTACGTTGTCTTATAAGGAAGGTTTGAATGCTACCAACCTGTAGAAGAGTACAAAAGGTGCTTTATCTCTGAACTACACTGGTGATGTGTCCCTAGCAGCTCCTGGCACCCTTTTGCTGGAAGGACAGTGATCTGTAGATTTGTAAAATTGCTGACTTAGAAGCCCTGCCCCCACATCCTGTGGAGGGAACTGCAGCCCCTCCCTCGCCACCCCATCTCCCCTCTATATTGATACCAGGACTCCTTGCCTGCCTGCAGTGGAGTGGCCTGTGCAGTGAAACTTCATCAGGTCAGTTGCATTGTGTCCTCCATATTCTTGGAGGAGTGGGTCAGATTTTACTGTGTTAAGGAATGACTTCTTAAGGTCATAATGAAGTCTTGAAATCAAGGGTGGGCAAAATATGGCCCATGGGCCAGATTCAACCTACCACCTGATTGGATCTGGCCTGTGGGGCATGCCTGCCAATTGATTGAATGTGGCCTGTGGCTGCCCCAGCAGCGCTGCACATGGGGCCAAGCCCTGCCCAGGTCAGCTGGTGCTGCACTCCTGCCTCTGCCTGCTGGCCCCAATCCTGGCCAGCACACACAACTTATTGGCAGGGTTGCTCCAAGTGCAGCTACAGCTGCCTGGGTACTGCCCCAGCCCAGTGCTGTTACTGCCCTGTGATCCTGGTATCACCTGCCTGTCTTGCTCCCAAATACTGTTCCCTGCCCATCTGCATCCCCATCCCACGTAGGGTATTTTGTTGAATTGTTGCTGGCGGGGGGCTTGTGCGCCGACCTAGTTCATGACAATTCATCAAACCTCTCTGTGATCTCCAGGCCCCAATAATGACCCAATCCTGTCTTAAATGATGTGTTTTATTTGTGTGTGGGTTAATGTAATGTTTTTCTTGGTACTTGCATTTTTAACATAGGCTTGTTTTTATAGTAATGGTTGTATTTAGCAAGTGTTATACGTAAGATATGTAGCACCAAGTAAAAATACTGGGAATAAGAATTTGTGTGTAATGGTTTGTTTGTTTAATTTATTAAAATAAAGTTGTTCAGTCTCTATTAACTTTTTTTAAATTACATTTTTAAAAGGTTCATTAAAGTTTCCTCAGTAGGTAACTAGTGATTTCTGCATAAGTTACATTCTGCAGCCAAATAATGGGTTACACATACGGGGTACAGATTTTGATGTATTTTAAACAGATGACTTCTAATTGTAATACTGATATTTGAGTCATAAGATTCCTCTTATGATACTTCAGTTTGCTTGTGTTGCACAGGAATGCAACAGCAGCAAGACCAAGAAAGGCAGCATTGTTTTTCATAGCAAAAGCTTCAGCTGGTGTGGATACCTGTCATCTCTTTTGATCTTGTCAGCTTGGCCAGATGCAGCTTTCCTGTGACTATATGTATGACTACACTGATGGATTTGGTCAGCTAAATATGGCCAAAATAGATGAGAGCTGCAGCCAAACTTACTGAAGCTTTTGATTTTTCTACCTACTGAGCTACTACACTTCTCTAATCAGGCTGTCTGGGTGGATTGAGGGCAAGCAAGCTTTCGCCCTTTGGGAACTGTAGGCAAAACTTGGTTTCTATTTTGTCGTAGTAAAACTTTTAAATATGGATGTGTCTACCGTTACATAGGAATATTGAAGTCGCAGCTATTCCTTCCCCAGTACATTTTTGATTATACCAAATCATCTTTAAAATCATGCCATTGCATTGTTTAATCATAGTATTTTATGTTTAATAAAAAAGCTATGACTCTCTCAGAGGAACGTGCTGCAAATGTTCAGATTTAAGTGTCTTGTTTTAAATAATTAGAACATTCTTATGTTATTAAGAATTTTGATAACCCACCAAAATCTGTCCTTGCCCCTCTTTGAAAACCAAATACAAATGCATGCAAAACAGTTTGTCTATGTCTGTCACTTACTACATCTAAAATATTTTACTCGTTAGCAAATATTTGATGTTTCCTGTATTATTTTAAAGCAGAAAACAAAACCAAAAATCCATTGTATAGATTAAACCTCCCACACACACACACACCCTCCGCCCCCCAGCATTTTTAATGCTCTTTGAAGACTGCATTTCCCCCAACCTTCCCAAAATAAGTAAGTGCTTTCAGTTAACAAAAAACTTGAAAATTCACTAGTTGATGTCAGTCATTTAGGGTAGTTATCATAGAATTTGCTTTGATCAATTCTAACTTCTGAAGCTTCACTTTTTGCCTCTGAGCTTTATGAATCTGGTGAAAACACACAATAACATCACATGTCTTTTATTATATTTGAATTTTGAAACTACTTTGGGACTTTTTTTTTTTTTCAGGTGTTAACAGTAATAGCCTAGTAATAGCTATAAAAGCAAATGGCTCAGCCCAACCAGCTGACAAAGATCTCGCTTGAAAATCTACATTGAAAGCTTGCATTTTGTCCCAAAGGCTCTGTAATGAACAATCAGAAGAACTGAACTGTAGAGCTGAAGACTTTCTACCAGAACAAGGCTTAACTTTGCTAACCTCTCACGGAAGCCAAAATCATCAAGTGTTCTGAATTAAGTATCCTAATATGCCCAAGAATGCTCAACCTATTGATCAATCGGATTGTAAGCACCCTGATGCATCTTCTGTAGAGAAGTACTCTTCTGTGATGGAGAACTTCGTTTTCATGGTTTTATCATATCTGCTGAATAAGATCACTGATGTAAAATTTACTCAGAATAACATTTAAGTGAGATCTTAGAAGGTAAAAAAAGCTGCTTTTCAATAAATGTCGAACATACTGCAAGAAGATTTAAAAAACTGGCTACACTAATTGAACATTGCATTAAATAGCTATTTTGCATCTTCTGAGGATGAAAGTGTCTGTATAGACTTTATTGGCGGTGTTTTAAAATCTCCACACTGCAAACCAGGATTATTTGAAATTGTACCTCTCTGGTCATCTTGTATCCTTTCACTTTCCATACTTTTCTCTTTTTCAAGCAGTCTCATGTTAAGGTTTGAATGGTTGTCTTTTAAAACACTGCCCGGTCCAAAGAGCTCTTTCATAAGAGTGTTTTTTCTTTCCATTAATGTCCTGTGAGTGTAATCTCCATCTTCAGCTGGACTGGCCTTCTGCCTTGCTTTGATAAATTTACCAAATGATGGTTCATATACACCAAATGAAGTTCTTGCCTTTGCTGTTTTACACTGGTGTCGACCTGGCTTGTTGCGAAAGCTGCCCGTGTTGGATATTGGACCTGAGGCTGGAATTCCCTGATGCAAGTTTTCAATGACTTCTGTAAAAGTATACTGTTTTTTCAATCTAGTGGGTGTTCTGTTCCTTTGAGTTGGAGTTACACATTTATTTGCTGCTGTGTTGTCACTTAACTGGTTACTTTTTTTCCTTTCTTCTTTTTCATTCTCTTCCACTGCATCTTTTTCCTGATTACTTTCCCTTTTTGGGGCATCATCTGTAGATGGAATTTGTTCATCATTTAGCAGTTTTTCTAGTTCTTTCAGGAAGTCAGCTTTCCTTTCTTGCACTTCTTTCTTTTTCTTTCCTCTTTCCATGCATTCAAAATGTATTTTTTCTTCCATCAGCTGTGTTTCTTCCCTCAAAAATACTGCAATGGAATAATTTTATTTAAGAACAGTCTTACTTTTAATCATTGTTTGTTCTAAAAATAATTGTAATGCTTTATTAGGAGCATTAGGCAATGTTAAGACACTTTTATGTACATATTGTCAGACCTGTTTTACACAACATTATTCTCTCCCAGGTTTATTCACTGAAGTATATGGCAGAATGCTTGTTCATATGAACTTTGAGAAAAACATAATTTCATTGACTAAAGTATTAGACAACCCATTCTTTCACGATGAAGTAGCACTCATGGCCAAATAGGTATATGAAGGCTGCCCCTAATTCAGATCAATCCTCCAATAAGAGAGGAAAAGGAGTTATGTCATGCTGTTTACAGCAAGAGAGAACAGCAGCCTTTGGTTCAGAGAGAAGTCCCACTGCAGGGGGTGTCCATCTGTCCAGCAGGTTCACTAATCAAGCAAACAACTGAAATTAGATGAGCACCTTGGGGCCCAAAGGAATTAAAAACACTAGCAGCAGATCAGATAGCTTTGTTGCATCTTTACAATATGGTGGACAAAAAACAAGTCTGGAGAGCAGCAAGGCCCTTATGACCTCAGATTTTATTGAGACAGAGGGGAAAGAAGGTAGATCTAGACCAGCCACTAGACACTATTCCTCTAGTAGGTATACATTGTTAGTCTCTCAGCCCACATCTGAAATTGTCCCTCTGCTGACCACATGATGGGGATCAGCAGTCTTTTTAGTATTACTGACTAATGTAAGGTCAGTTGTCAACCAAGCTGTCGTAGTCCATGCTCAGACAAGATGCCTGGTTTTTATGAAGGTCACTGAGAGTGCGGTTAGAATCACAAAAGTACAAAAGGTGCACAGCTCTATTTGCTACACAAGTCCTGCGGCATCTCTAGAGTGGATTTCAATGGCTTTTAGTATTACATATTATTTATTATTAAATGTCTTTATTTTAGGTTGGATGCAAGCTAAAGCCTATGATACCACTGTATAGTATATTTATTCTGTTTAGATAAAATCAAACAAGGTCTTTAAAAAGTATTGAATGTACCTCTGAATGTTCTATTAGAAGTTTCTGGCTTTAGTAGTTTCTTGGTTGGTTCAGTTTCTTCTTTCTTGTGTGCTGCATCTTTGTGTGCTTCATGGGCCCTTCCATTTTGACTTGTGTTTTCTGTTGCCCTTTTCTCCTACAAATCACAAGATAAGATAAAGGCAAACACACCCTTGTATTCTTTAAATGAAGTGAATGAGCAATGAAATGATTTTTTTCTGAATAGAAAGGATTGTATTTGGAATAGTTTATTCTGTTTACCACTATCACATGACTTATTTTTCCTGTGGCATGGTTGTACTAATGATGTGCCCTTAAACATTTAAAATATTAATACAGTTTTAATTAAAGATCAAGGCGCACAGCTACTTCTGAAGAACAAAATTACAAAATACGGATATTCAGGTAGATACGGAATAAAATATGATTTTGGAGCAAATATTTGAAATATTAAGGAAACTGTATCCAAATCTTTCATACCTCAGTTAATAGAACTGCAATCTTTTCTCTTTCCTGCTTTTGATGATGCAGCTTAAAACTCTGCTTATCAACTTGCACTGATTTGTTTAAAATAAGACCTGTAGAAAATAAGGACATGCTAATTGGGGAGAAACTTGACTATTTCTAAAACTATATTTGAAAATAAGTTATCTAAAAATCTGATAGTAGTACTGCAATGTATGATTTTAAACATCACTGACTATTTATTTACATAAGGCAATTTAAAAAGAACTAGAAGGCAGAAAAATGTGAGATTTGATTTTTATCAAAATCCACATAGACAAAAAATGTTAAAGTATGTTAATCTTCTGATATCACAGTCCTCTATTTATGATATCACAGTTGGGGCCTTTGGAAATTATATGTCATAACAGAAAATCATAATTTTGTTTGTGGAACTAGATGAGGAGCAGGACCCTACTTTCATTGTTTTAATCAGAAACAGTATAAACAGCAGCTGAATTTCATGATGGTTGATCATCATGGTTGATAGAGTGATAAAGCTGGAAAATAAACAGTAAAATAACTTAATGGGCCAATGCTGGGGTGCTTAAGTAGAACATGTGGAAACAATTGGTAAGTACCTCCAAAACATGTAGCCAATTACACTCATAATGAGTTACGGTTAACATTCTGGTTGAGTACACTGGCATTAATGGACTGAGTCCTTATTTCTCAAGATTCTAAACGAACTGAAAGCAAAGGCCTGACTCTTACAAGACCTTATACATGCACGTAACTCTGTGTGCCTTGAGTGACTACTGATACGCATGTTTTGAGCAGTTAAGCACTTAGGTTAGCGTTTGAAGGCAGGCTTTAGGGCTTAATGTGGAGCTTGGGTGCTTACACTATTTGAAGGGTCTCCAATGGAGGGGTGTAAAAAAAATACAGCAAAAAGAAGTGTTGCTATGTAGACTTCATTTCTTTAATACATTTTTTTCCTTTCATATTCATGATTAGAGAATTTCTAATAATCATGAATGAACTGATTAAGGCAGGAATGTGATGATATGCCACAAGTAAATTTACATCTATTGCACTCCATTTGACACCAGGGCTGTCCAACTGGTGGCCTGTGAACTGCATAAAGCCTGTGAGGGGTTAATGGGCAGCCTCCAGGCTCCTGCTCAGTCACTGTTCTCCCTATTAGCTGCTATTGCAACCAGAGCAGTTTCCAGGCTCCCTCTTCTGGTTGCTTCTTCCTGCCTTGGCCTTAGAGGGCAAGGTAGAACAAAAGTGTGGGAAGCTGAGGGTGAGTCTAGAACTGCACCCAGGTGATGCAGCAGTGGGCGCAGGTTGGCAGGGGGATTACACTCAGCACAGCAATTGTTAGGGAAGTGGTGCCCATACAGATGCATAGTGCAGGAGTACAGGCGAAGGTATTTGGACTGCCTGGCATAGTCTGAGGCATGTGGTCCCCAGGGGTTTAGAAGCTGGACAGCATGGTTTTCTGGTGGTGTTATTCTTCCTTGAACTGTTCTTTTGTAGCTGTTGGGAATTATGTTAATAGATAACTTTTTGGTTACTTAAGAAATCTGGATGCAATCTAATTAATATCTGTGATTTCCTTTGCTTTTTGAACCTGTAATGAATGCTGCCTAGTTATTTTAGAAGCATTTTAAGCAGAAATCCCTTGAGCATTTCCAAGTTTCAGGACTAGGGGGAGCTATGCATCCAAACTACTATACGATTTAAACTTTTCCTTCAGTAAGAAGCAAGCTTGGAGGAATGTCTAACAGAGAAAATATAATTTGAATTCAGTTCTTAGGCTTATCAAACAAAATACTGGACTTTTCATGCATATGATAAAATATCACAAGTTTCCCCCCAACTGAGATCTTATTCTTCTTATTTTAGGACAGTAAGAATTTAAACTGCACACTGTAGAACAAATGCAACAGCAAAAAAAGAGGGAGTAAAACTTAAAAAGAACACGTGTTTTATTGTGGTGCAACTAAAATTTGGACTCAACACTTGCATAATAAAATTGCCCCATTCTGAGCGGGGAAAGAAATTTATGCCTTTAAGTACAGTCATTTGAATTACCAGGGCAACAGTTTTCCTTCCGGAGTGCCAATTTTTTTTCTATAACTTTGGAGCGGTAACGTTCTGCCAATATTTTAGGAAAAGTCTTCCTAAAAAACCAACAAAGACAAGAAAACCCTTACCTTAACCCAGGAGAAAATCTGTGATTTAGGACACTGACAGACATTCAGTTAAAGGCACAATGGGATCCCAACAATTGCTGCTGCCATGCTACATGTGCATGACAGGAGGTGCAGTCATGGGACTGGGGATCAGATCCCAGCTGCACCCTATTGCCAGTGCTGGGGGAGCCTGGGATCGTGATCCTAGGCTTCCCTATGTGCCAGCAAACAGTAAGCCATGCTTGGCATGTCCACCAGCAGGTCAGCGCTCCTAACTGCAGCAGTGCTCCAGAGCTTTGAAGGGCATTCATAGACTCCCAGCCATGGGAGCACCAGTCAGTTGACTGGCACTCCTAACCTCAGGACCATACCAGATCCTTGAAGGGCTCCAATGTAGTCCTGAGGCTGGGAGTGCCAGTCATCTGATCGGTGTCAGCTACGCATTCAATTTAAGACATGATGGGAATCAGCCACAAAGTTATTACACATTCTGGTAGTAATTTGTGTAGTTTATTTCTTGGTTTATCATACTGTTAACTGCACAGTATGTGGCCAGGTTACTATTATAGACACGATTAATGGGTAAATCATGTCTTAAGTGTAAGGTCTGCCAGGGGCCTCAGGGTTATGCAAGAGGTTTAATAAGTTTAGGAATCTGCTCTTTCCACACCGTAACCAATACAAATAGCAACGCTCCCTGCAAGCTCATATTAAACGTAACTTCTAGGAAATGTTCCTATTTTGTTCCAGGGGAATCTCAGGATTCTTGGGAACAGTTTGCATTTACTATTTGGTGTACTCTTGTCTTTTCAAAAAAAGGGAACACTGCTTTTCAAAAGTAAGTTTATTATCTAAGGGAAAATATCTCTAATGTTTATCTGAACATCTATGTGATAGAAATATTCTTTAGATTCTAGGGAACTCTTTTATTAAAAGAACTGAGAGAGGGGTTCTGTAATAATGAGATCATTACAATCTCTGGTTGTCTGTTTGAATTTGCTTATGGCGACTAATCAAAGAGCAGCAAAACATACTGTGACAGAATGTGGTTTCATTGTCATCTCTTTGTATATTTCACTGTAATATCAGGCAAACTTTGTAAATGTATTCATGTTACAATAATTTTGCATGTATCGGTTTCCCTGAGTAGCTTGCATACTAGGGAAAAAAGAGGTTAATCATGTTAAGCAGATCACCCCAGCTCTGGATCCAAAGTGCTCTATTAGTGGGCAATGCTCCATCAAGCAACAAAGAACTAATTGGCCTATGCTGATGCTCCAAGTGGACCCTCAAAAGCACATGAAGAGATTCACTACTGTTTCTGGTGCCAGGGAGGCACTTAAGGCAGTATGCTTAGGAGAAGGTCCAGAAAAGGGAGATGCTCAGAGACAGGAGGAGAGTAGCTTGACAAGCTTGAAAACAGCTAGGGCTGTTTTTACGACAAACTGTTTGAGCTTTGGGGCCCAAGGACTCTGCCTGCTGTACTACTGTTATCCAATAAATGTTTTTATTTTAAAAAGTTGACTGTGTCTCTGCATTTGACTGAGTCTACTCTGTTCCTTCAAGAGGTAAAATTCCTCTCTAGGAACTAAGCCAAAAGGTAGCTTTCTGAGGCAAGGGGGTCAAGTATCAAAGAGCCAGGGCTCACCCTCTCCATAAGCTACACTGAGGCTGGCTTCAAGGAGTATTGTATAAGGTTGGGGAGTCCCAAGCAAGTGTTCTCCTGGAGAACCATTACACACGGAGTCTTTTTCTTCTCAGACAAGCTGACACTGAATATAAGGCTCGCTCCTAAACATTGTTCACATAGATGATGTCCAATAGCCATCTCTTCAAAGGACAAGCAGTATAAGTTTCAGTTCTGAAAGGGTCATAATGATTTAATGGGGTTGGAATATTGCTGTAGCCATGAAGATCCAGAAAATGTACAAAAGGCAAACTTTTTTGTGGTATCTTTTATTGGACCACCTGCATAGTTATTTGGGAGAAAGGCTAGACAAGCTTTTGAGACCAAATTGATCTTCAGATCTCCTGCAAAAAGGAGCTTGGCTAAACTCTTCCCCAGCTATCTGTTGATCCAATAAAAAAATATTACAAATACATCTTTGCCTCTACACACTTATTTATACATCTCTGAAATTTAGACAGAGTCTACAGGGCTTAGGAAAACAGCTTATAAAATCACTATTTGAATTTATTTAAATTTTCTCATGTGCTAGAGATTTAGCATCCCCTACCAAAACTAGCAGTTTGCTATGGACTACCATTTATGAGCCCCCATAACTCAGTGAGCTGAGTTCGAAGGAGTTCTACATCTCACAGGGATACCTGTGTCAGGTTGATAGGGAGAAGCCAAAGAAAAGTGTCTCCCAGCCCTTCAGATTTGGGGGGTAAGCACAAAGCTGAGAAATCTCATCCTGTAAGATGCACGTATAATTTTGGCAGTATTTTTCCCCTTAGTTTCTGTCTCAATCTCAAATTCTTGATTAGAAGAGTAGTTCTCATGTGAATTGTGTGGCATGTACCAGGGAAACAGCCCCTACAAAAATCTAGTATCTTGAAGAGTTTGCAGCTTCAGTTTGACTGTAAATTATGTACAGGATTCTGGAATCCATGTATGATGCTGGAAGCTGGAGAGAGAAAATTTTAGTACTAACACTTTCAGGATGAATGAACACAGGTGGTCAGGAGAAGATATTTATCTTACTGTTCCTCAGTTTTATCCAACAATTTGACACCCCAGAGGATGGGGAGGCAGAGGAAAAGAATGAGTTGCTATAATCGAGAGTGATGCTGGGCAAAAAGCCATACTCAAGGAAAAATACTGCAATGAAGAAGACAAAGATACATTTAGAACCTACAGGACCATTTTAGTAAAATCTTATAATAGGATTTCCTCTGTCATGAATGTACATGTAGAGACAGGCAGTCACTGACTCTGTGATGCATAAATTAGTTCATGCAATGGAAGACAGCTCATGGAATTATGCCAAGAAAATGATCCTCTGATGGGAATATTTTTCCCCATAATAAGATTTAAAATACTACTTGGATTTTTCCAGATAGTATAATGAAGAACCAAACAGATTACTTCTGCAAAAATCTTCATTAATTACTTTCGGATGTTTAGGCATGTTTCTGCATGTGTCCCTATGGTGCCTTTGTTACCGCGCTGTCCTTTAGTATTTCCTTTTGGCAGAGTAACAAAATTGTCAGTCTTGAAGGACTTAAGATTCTGTCTTTGATGACGTGGGAAAGACTTGGAGAACCACATCCAATGATTATTTTAATATCAGTGAGAATGTATCAGGATTTTCCAAGGGTAGAAAGGAGCAGGTTTACCATGTTCTTATAGGATGTCAACACCAAAAGGAAACAGGTAAAGCTGAATATTCTTAGTACTAGCTGGCAAAAGCAACTTAACAATAGGAACAAAAAAGAGCTATTGTAAGAAGGTAGCTGAAGTAGAGACAAAGACCAGAAGTAACATCATGGTTGGAAGGAATTCCCATTTAAATTTTCTGGATGATATTAGTTGCACCTGTTTCTCCTCAACAGAAAACTCATTACAATTGGTGGGAATCTGAATTGTAGATGTTTGATTTTCTAGAACTGTAAATGTATAAATTTCAGGAAGAAAGTATATTTTTATCCTGTTAACCTTTCAGTTATTTAAGTTATATACAGACTGTTAGAAATAGGGTTTGTATTATTTTTAAGCATTTTAAGAATATGATGATCAATTTTTCTACTTGATTACGTGGTTAAATGCTAAATTTCAGCCTAAAATATTTTTGCAGACAAATTCATAATATCTATTTAATAGGTCCCAAAAAGTATATCAGGATTTTATTTGTATTACCAAGATGCTAAAAGGCACAGCTCAAGCCGACTCTATTGTATAAAAGCTGAAATTATGTGTCATGCTGTTTCATTACTAATAAACAGATCACAGATTTAAGGCAGCAACAATACTTAGGACTCACTGTCCTTATACTTTATTTCTAAACCTTCTGTAAAAGCATTAACGGACATAAGATTATACACTATATGAGCACTAAATGTCACTAAATAAATGTAAATGTCATTAAATAAGTGTAGGGGTATAGGTTGTAGCCGTGTTGGTCTAAGGAAATAGAAAGACAAGGTTCCTTGGGTGAATCTCATATCTTTTATTAGACCAACCCAAATAGTTGGAGAATAGTTATTAAGCAAACTTTTGGGTTCAAAAACCCTTCGTCAGGCTAAGGAAGTTTCAGCAGTTGGTGTGTGTTCTTCCTGGATGGAATGAAAAGTAAAGAAGCCAGAGGCTAGGCTGGGGAGTCAGTTAAATAAGTGTAAAATTTGGCTGAAAGTGCATAAACTGGGTTAGAGATTAAAAAGGTTTCCTTAATTGCACCCATAAAATGTATGAACAGAGAAAAAGGCAGTTGGTTGTCCAAGCTGTGTGTACAATAACCTATTTTGCTTACATATACAGACAACCCCTGCTTAGTGCTCTTAATTGGTTCCAGAAAATACGAGTGCTAAGCGAAACCACACTAAGTGAAATCCATTTGCCCATAGGAATGAATGTAAATATAGGTAACTGGTTACCACCGCTTCTTGCCGCCGCTTCTCCCCACTAGCCTGCTGGCCGCCCCAGTCCTACGTGCCAGCCCGAGCCTGCACTCCTACTGCCCCACCCTAGGCCCCCACTGGCCTTAGCCCCGGGCACCAACGCAGGCCCTGCACTGATGCCCGTCTGCCCCACTCACCGCCACTGCTTCTCCCCACCCATCCGCCTGCCTGCCCCGCTGCTGGCCCCATGTGCCAGCCTGGGCCCCTGCTAGCCCTGACCCTGGGCCCTGCACCTCTGCTGCCCCACCCTGGGTTCAGGCCCCTGCTGGCCCCAGGCACCAGTGCAGGCCCCACACTCCTCACCATCTCCGCTGCTTCAGCTGGTAAACTCAGGCGGTGGAGCAATCCACAGGAGCATGATGGATGTTTGCAGCCAGCCAGGAGCAGAGGGGTTTGCAGCATCCCTGTTACATGCCCAGTCGACTGTAAACCCCACTCCGCTCCCAGCTGGCTGCAAAACCGCTCCCCACCATGGGATGCTCCACTGCCCCACCAGGCTGTATTCACCAGCCGTGCCTGGCTTCTCCCCGCCAAACACACACTCATACCTGCCCCCTCAACTCGCTGTCACTCACTGCACTTGCTGCCACTGCCACCGCTACTTCTCCCTGCCTTCTCACCAAAACTCGCTGATTCCATTGAGCGCTATAGCGAAACTGGCTGAGTACTCAGTGAAATCAGGTATCAATTTTAAATGAGTGCTATAGTGAAATAGCGCTAACTGAAACCGCGTTAAGTGGGGGTTGCCTGGAGGTGCAATTTATGCCTCTATTTCAGAAAATTTATTTCATTTCCAGTGATAAAGCCACATGAGTACCACCTTAAAATAAAACAAAAATGAAAAAAAAAAAAAATACCTTTTTTATGAGGGACTGGATCAGCTTTGTCCTGTATACTTTTGAACATATGATTTGTGTAGATATTTCTTATACCAAGTTCTCGTTCCCTTTCCTAAAAAAAGATCCATACTGTCAAACTCCTAACATACATTAATGATTCCTTTTTTAACAACTTCACTTCCTCATTTAAAACCATTAATGAATGTATTATTCATGAAAGTAAAGAACAATTAGCTTTGGTGCAAGATAGACATACTGTAGGAAGATGCCTTGTAAAAGCTCTCTTTCAAGCACCACCCTACAAATACATTTTGTCCTGAAGCACAGTATTTTTCAAAGCTCTTCTTTTCCTACTGAAACACATTTATACACATCAAATACATCAGACAAATTTTACTATTTTTGCACCCACTTTGGCTGGACATTTTGAATAACAGGAATATGCAAGTAAAATACATGTGCAATATTCTGTGTCTAAGACCTACAACCTTAAAGATATTTAGGCACCTCATTTCTGTTAAAAATCAATGGAAGTTAAATGTCTCTATAAAGATAACCTTGACCTCTGACAAGCAGGCATATGCCACTTCTAAGGCAGCCTCACAGATTGATTCTATAAAATCATCCTTAACAGAATGATTTAGGATGATCCCTACAATAGTATCCTTGCAGAATCTTGATCCTTCCTAGGAATGCAGTTGCAATTGGATGAGTGGATTTATTACTACATATTTAGGTAAAAAACATGTCATAGCTATACTATAAGAAGCAACTTAGGTTGGTATGATATTTATTTTTTTGCATACAACACACTTTTTTCCACAAAAGTCAGATGCTGGAAATTGGAATGTGCATTATATGCAAGAAATATAGTAAGAGCAGGTACTCCTGCATAATGGGTAAACCTGAAAGTAAAATCTGCAGCAATATGCAGGAAGCAGAACAATGAGCAGGCTTGGCTCCCCAGCTCACTGGCGACGCACAGGGGGTGCACGTTTACCCCCTGAGTTTTGTGGTGCACCCCCTGCAAAAAGCTTGGTGGTGCACCACCTACACCCTTGGTGGTGCACCCCCTGCTGGTGGCATCTGCAGCTGGTTGCCAACCACTGGTCGGTGCTTGCCACCCCCTCCCCCAACACTGCTGTGGCTGCCTGCAGGCAGTCACTGTGCTCCCCCAGCTCATGTCCCAGCTGCTTCTACTCCATTACTTACTACAAGGACAGACCTTTTTTTCTTCATCCTGTCTTTCATAACAAGGTGTGTATTATATTCCAAGACATGCTGTATGCATGATAATACAGTAAAGATGTAATTATTATATACTTTTCCCAACTGATGCTGTTTATTAACAGATAACAGACTAATTTGTTTCATTATTTTTACTAAATATAACAGCAAACTGACAGGGAGGGCATAATCTGTTAAAAACAAAACTGTTTTAGCTAAAATACATAAAACCCTAGAAACATTTCTATTGGCCTACTTGTCCAAGCTTATTTTTACAAACTGCAAACTTGATGCCAATTTTGATTGTAGAAATTTCCTATACAGGAATCTAACAAAAGAATCAGTATGTGTTGGTCTAGATTAATAAAATAGTAACAGATAGATATTGTTATTTGATGCAACGTTATTAGATCAATGGTACCATATTTTCTCACATACAATGCATACCTTTTTTTCAAAAAGTATATGCTGTAAATGAGTGTATCCATTATATGCAAGACATATGACAAGAACAGTTTCTTCTTACCAGGCAAAAGTGCAAGTCTATATGCCATCCACAGGGAGCAGAATACTTAGTAGCCTTGGCTCCCTATCTGTGGCTACTCAGTTACTTACTACAAGGAAAGATCTATTTTCCCCCCTTCATGCTGCCTTTCAAAAATATGCGTATCATACTTCAGGGCATGTTGTACATGAGAAAATATGATATTTCGTCCAGTTATTGGTCTAATAAAGATTGACATGTTGATCTAATGACAATTTCACTTGTTTCACATTTTGACTTTTTGGCAGTATACAAACTTTAAAAAGTGCAACATTTGTCCCATTATTATCTTATGTGATAATATAAACAAGATGAGAAAAATATTTGAGATCAGACACAACACCCTATAAAAAACCCGTCTTAAACCCGGAATACCTTAAGTTTTTGGTGAAGACAAGTAATTTCCATTTGCAAGGCCTCTGTGATTGTTCGAGCTGCTATACTCTTTTTACTCTCAGCTGCCATTTGATGATTAAAGATGCTATTTTTCAGCTTCAACTGCTTTTCTAAGCCCTGAAGACATTTAAAAACATAGGTGTACTCAATATAGTTGATGAAAATTTTAGTTAATGTCAGATTTAAAACACAAGCTTATTAACATTATGAAAAATTGAAGTTTTAATAAATACTGTAAATAAAATCCAATATTAAAAGTTTGTAATACTACAAATACTGTCTCTCAAAATCTACATTTAAAATGAACAAAAGCTTATTTCAAAGCTAATTTTACCAAACAAAATACACTGGTACTCAAGAATGAAAAAAATAATTTATTATAATATATTGCTAATGTGTTCATTCCAATTTAATCTTTTTTAAAGACCTAATTTTCTTTTACACTAAGGTAAACTTAGTTACACTAAGGTAACTTTCTTATTTACACTAAAATTTTTACACTTATTTACACTAGAACTGCCAGCAATAGAATCAGGTCCTTTATCATTTCGAACCCAGAGAATATATTGAGTATTTAATGCAGTGTGTCAATATTAAAATCCAAGCACTCAATCATCCAGTCTTTCAATGACGAAAATCTTCCATTAGCTCTCACTGAGAGCTCTGCAAATAGGAAACTGCAAATAGAATCTGAATTCTTTACAATTTCTTTGCCTTTTCATGCATGCAGGAAATCTCAGACTTTGTTTTTTCCATAATGCAGATGGTGAAATACCTTCACAATTACCTGAACCTCCAACCCTCACCCCCTGCACTGACTGCTTCTATGCTCCGAGTGTATCATGGGCTGGGGTGGGAGGAAAAGGTAGGATGTAGGGTTGTGCTTTTTCAGCCCAGCTTGTTTCCCTGCTCCTTCCATGCTCTCAGAGTTGGCAGGGGGCCACAAGGAACGGTAGCTCCAGTATTCAAGTCCCTGCAAGAGCAGCCACAGCAGCAGAAGATGCTTTCACCCCCTCAGGTAGAAATGGGAGCAGGGAGGGTCAGATGGCAGAAACAGCAGGGAATGGCAGGGTTCTACCCCCAATATCTGCACCTGGCACCAGCCTCTGCACCAGCAATCACTGTCACTCCCTTCCACTTTCTGCAGGGACAACTGCATCCACCATCTCCAAGCTCCTGGGTCTGCTCAACTGAGCAGCCCCTGCCAGCTCTGATCACTCTGCATCATCCCCTGTCATGCTATCGGTGTGCCCTGTCTGCTCTGGCACCTCATGAGATCCGTTTAAGGGTGATACAGGGTGTAAGGAGGTAAGAAATAAATTAGTCTTTAAGTGGGATGCCACTAAATTCCAGAAAGTTAAGGAACGGTGCCTTGAGTCTAAAAAGGCTGAGAAGCACTGGCTTAACCCTTGTACTTAAGGAAGGCATTACTTTTATGTCTCTACAGCAAGGCCCACAAGAATTGTGTCTATGAATTTCAGAAAGAAAGAATGATAAACAGCTATCTCCACTAGAGAAGGGTCACTGAAATGCAGATGACGACATAAAAAGCAGATAAATAAGGGTTGTTCTAATTCTGAAGTAAGGCTTAGAAGAGCTCCCACACAAAAACAAGAAAAGATATATTATTATGAATTTATGAGGAGGTTGTCTTTTTATTCTTCTTTAAGGTCACTACTCTTTTCTCTCAATTTTCTAATGCTTATTATGAATTTTTTTGTTTCCTCATGTATCTTCTCTGTACTTTGTTTGTTTCTGGAAGCATATTCCACCCTAACAGGGATCCTGTCTAATCAAATGTCAATGATACATGCAGGTATCATAATGATAGGTACACTGTATTTAAAAAATGAAATGAATAACATCAATTTTTATACTACACTTTTTGTAGAAAAACTTCAAATCACTTTAGAGATATTCATTAGCATACACTCTGTAAATTGTTGTCCCTCCTTTTAGCAGATGGATAAGCTAATGCTCAAATTCACTGCTTTGACCAACATTACATATATGAAATCAGCAGTAGAGCTAGTCCTAAAACTAGAACTCCTGGTTTGTTCAATTCATTGGTCAACAGTTGCCCTACACATAACAGTAGTGAATGGGAGTACAGAGTGAACAGAAGACTATACTGGATATAGTTTTACTGTAGCACACCATAATTTAAGGTAATAGGGCAACAGCTTGACTTAAGTCCTAGAAATCTTTACTTCTAAATTTAATTCACTGATATATATTTGCAAGATTTTATTTTTTAAAATTGGGTCATTCTGTTAATATTATTTGGAGATTACTGATCAAAATGAGTGCTGAATTTCTACTTTTTCATGCTGCACTATAACAATTAATTTTATGTGTACTGATCAACAATTTTGCATCATTCTTGTGCAATTGTTTGCTATCATAGTACTAAAAAATACAAATATATGTTGCATATTACCTGTATTTTTTTATCACTGGCTTCCATTTTTTCTGTAAGGACTGATAATCTGCGAGTAAGTTCCCCTCTCTCTGCGAGATTCTTGTCTTCTGAAATGTTATGCAATGTTTGCAAAGAATCTTTAGTCCTTAACAGTTCTGCTTCAACTTTTCTAAGCTTCCTCAGTGTTTTTCGCTCCTGCTCCTGAGACTTCCTAAGGAGTTCCCTTAGACTTCTTACCTCATTATAATGTCTTGCTATAAGATTAGGCAAGTTATTCTCTGCATTTTCATATTTACCTATTGCTTTCAAGTGCTGATATTGAAGCTGTTTCAGAAGCTGATTTTCTACATTTGAAGCTTCTAGTTTATGCTGGAGATCTGACAGTTCATTTTTCAGTTCTTTAGTTTTGTGAAGTCTTGCTGAAAATATGCGTTGAGCCAGAACATCTTTTTTCTGAGAGACTGTGGTATTCTGATTGCTTAAGAATGAAGTGTTCTGGTGCTGCATCTTCTTAAGTGGCAATTTCTTGCTTCCTACATTCAGACCAAAACAGATAAATCGTGATACATATATTATTTAAGGGTGGATAAGGCGTAACTTTACTATTCTTATAACTGGTTATCCTAAGATTTTTAAATGTAGTGTATATGACAAATTGCCTATAATCCATACCACAATTCCTCTATTCACCTATTTCATCCAGATACCCCCAGAGCAGGGATTTTTCCTGATTACACTTGGCCACAACTAAAGTCAAGTCCATGTCAAGTCGAAATGTTTCCTCACCTGCTTATTCTGTTAGACCATCTTTGTTCTACTTAGCCATAGTCTTTTATTTTAGTAACGAGAATATATGAGAGCTTCTTTTGAGGCAAACAAAAGCACTCTATGAATCAACTGGTACGATGTCCTTACAAAAGCATCTCCAAAGCCAACTGAAACTAAGTTTCTCTCTCAGTCATTCAGTGAGAATCAGATGTATATATAGGTCTGATCTGACCCTTTTGAAAAGACTCCCATTAACTCCAGTGAAACTAGATCAAACAGTTGATTATGAAAATTCAATGCATTATGGAGAAGGAAGAAAATGTCAATTTACTGTACCTGCAAAAACTCAGAAAAATAAAGTTATGGCAATAATATGTATTTCAACAACTCTGCATCTAACCACCTAACCAATTCTAGCACTTTCAAACCATTTTTAAAAATGATAAATAAAAGTCTACAAATACACATATAGTGTTTTTTCAATCATCAAGCATTCAGATTAGTTGTATAGCTTTCCTTGCCACGTACTGCATTTGCTAAATATTCTTGATCACTTGACATTCTAAATTACCACTGCTTACTTTGCTGTCCTTTCACAAAGTAAAACTGAACTAGACAGAGATTTATAAGTCTTAGGCTATAAACAGATGCCTTACTAGAGTAGTGATTCTCAACCAGGATGCTGGGGCACCTTTGGATTCCCTAGATCCTTTGAAGGGAGCCATGGGAAATGTGAGGAGATAAGCAAAAAAAGGGCAGGCTAAGGCTCTCCCTCCCTTGGCTTCCTTGCCCCCACTGTCTGATGCCTCTGCAAGGGGGTAAACACTGTAATCAATTAGTTTTGGAAAGGGGATGCCACTCCGTTCATAAAAGTTATGGAGGGGTGCCTTGAATCTAAAAAGATTGAGAACCACTGTATTAGAGGCAAGTCTGATTGTCTGACCTAGATCAGAACAGATGAGGCTCAGTCATTTACATACCTTGCCCTTCCAACATGCATTGCTGTTCCTCTGCCAGTAGGTAGAGAACAAGAGCACACTTTTCCCTGGAATTACCCTACAGATGCACAGAGCCACATCCTGGGAAAAAGCATTAACACATTTTTATCTTTCAGAGAAACTTAGTCTGGGACAGTGGACTTGTATGTCTGTAAGATCCCAGGACAAATTCTGTGTCTATTTACAGCCTTACTATTTACTTCACTTGTATCAAAACATTCGATTTCTTAACAGTTCTAAAGCATTCCAGGCAGCACTCCACTAAATAGTTATTCTTATAATATATATAAAATTCAAAATGTCCTTGCCATTTGCAAGAAAAATAGGCAGACAAATTCTGTGACTCAAACCCCATGGGATATAAGGGATAGATACAGTTAAGCATGCCTATTAAACTAGCAGGTAGAATGCATTTAAATGAAAATTATGGATGGGACACAGCAGCAAATAACTGATCAAGTTAAGCCAGCTTGTGTCTTTTAATTCCATGGCTTCTCTGTTGAGTTTTATTAACGTATTTATTATTTTCATTTTATAACTTTGTATTATGCGTTTTTTGCTGTCTGTTTATTAGTAAAGACCCAAGCTGGAATTTCTGGTCAAAACC